GTGTGGGGTCAGGTTGATGCTGTTACAAGGATAGACAGTAAGAAAGAATGGAGAATTTGTCTTTTGTCCATACTCCCTAACTTTATACACTGACACTCATGATAGATAATGACACACAACAGGTTAACAACATATTGAAAATAAGATTTGATGAAATCAGTAATAAACATACTTATTCTTTATGCTGCTTTCTAGTTTTGTTACTGTTTTAGGCTGATAGTCGTGAGAATTTCCACAGCAGGACAAAGGAATATTCGCGAAATAAATATGACAACATAAAATAGTTGTCAAAACTAAACCAAAAAACGTTCCTCATAGAGGTTGGAAAATACATTTCTGCAGTTGAGGCATCTGATTGCACTCTTCTAAAGTGTAAATAAGCTTTGAGGGACATTGTGTACGATGCAGTCCACACTCACTGATGGATAGAAAATAGTCTATACTATTTGGAGATCTACCTAAAAAGGGCCCAATCTTTAAAGACAGAAAAACATATTTAAAAAATCAGATGCTATGAGCCATTAGAAGCCTCATAGCATCTGATTGCGTGGGATTGGAAACACATTGTAAGAGATAAAAAATTCAAGGGCAAAACAAGCATTTTTTCCTCTGCTCAGTTGGACAGGGCTGCACTGGCTACCCACGGTGGTCTTGTGTAAGCAGGCTTTCATAGCATATCAGTGTCCATGCCAGCTTTAAGCAAGCAGACATCAAATTAACATTTAGATGGAAGCGACACTTCAGGACCTTGCATGTCAGAGATCAGTGAGGAGAGGGTGCATTAAAAACTGCATTCATCAAAGTCATTTTGTATGCCCCAAAGAGGGGCACAAAGTGGACTCACAGTCGAAATCCCCTCCACTAGATTAGAGCCTATTAACTCAATTATTGTCAGGTGTGTCTCGTGGTCTACCATGGGGGGGCTTTGAATCAGACCTGACTTATTTTAGTCCTTATGTCGCCACGAGCAACTGCGATCATCCAAGATGGCCACTGATAGCGTGACAAACTGCTTTTTTTTCTCAGATGTTTTTCACACATGCAGGATCCCCTTTGGACTTATTGGCCTGGGAGTCTACACCCTACACCACCCTATACATAGATAAAGCTAAATCAGCACCCCATACATTCTCACACCTCTTATGCGTCTGTTTTTTTGCACCTCAGCTTACACTACAATTCTGTCTGCCACTGGTTTCTTTCACGAGCTCTCCGGAATAGAGACTCTGGTGTCACTGTCCCTACTCAACTCCAGGGGTGAAACTTGTTTTTTTTTCCCTCAAGCCAAGAAACCCTACACAAACTGATGAGTGGCAGTTCAATTAGAGAGACAAGAGAAAAATAACAGCGTGACTGTACTCCAGGCTCTATCTGCTGCTTCCCCCCACAGTAACACAATGAATAATGTGTGTGTATTTTCATGTCTTTGCATGAAATTCCAAACAAACTTAACTACTAAACCATTCAAAATGTATTTTGGTGCCCCTCTACTTTGTAAGTAGCTTTAGATAAAAGTGTCTGCTAAATGCGTAAACATAAACATAAACATTTATGAATAATGCAAGCTCACAACGGCTAAATGGATCTTGTTCATTGTTTGATGTTTGTATATTTTTACGGCTAGATTGTGCCAGTCCATTCTGCAGTTCTTTCCCTTAAGATTTCAGAATGTGGTATGAAAGGACTGGAAAACGAATGTAAGCATGAACGAATGATTAGAGGAAATAAACCTTAATACCACATCACCTCACAAAAAAATCTGAACTTGTACTACCCCTCGTGTCAACAAAGCACTTTAGATCAGGAGGAATACTTTTACCTTTCTAAAGTTGCAGTGTTGGCAAGAGTCTAAAACACTTAACTTCACGTGTCAGATTGAGGCAAAACATGTTGTGTTTACAGTGCAGAATCTCATAAAGAAAATGTGAGGATACCTTTATATTAAAAAACAAAAGACTAATACAAGCAGGTAAAGAAATAAACATTTAATGTTTAAATGGTTGCTTATAGCGTACTGCTGTAATGTATAGTAAAATGGACATCCGGAATGGATAGTGATCCACATGAATAAAATCAGAATGAATACATTCAATAAAGGTACAATAACACAAATGCGCCATTCTCTGATCAATAAACAGAAGTTTGATAACAGGACATTTGACAGTGTTCCCATACTACATCATGTCAGGACCTTAAAAGATTACTAACATTTATACATAAACATGCACCATTTTGCATTATTTTGCATTATTAAAATGACTGTACTGCAACACCAGCTTGCAAAAGAAACATTGATGTCAGGTCATAATTGGTATTTTTAGTATAATTGAATGTTGGATTGTTGAGCAGGGGCTCACTATCACAACAGACTTTCTGTTTCTAGTGGAGAAGGGGAGAAAATCATAAGAAAAGCCTGAGCTCTTCAAAGTACATTACAATGATATTTTCAGATAAATCTGAGATTTTGTTCTGATTATTGATTCAACAAATAAAATTAATCTGCTCATGTCCTGTAAGTGACATTTGGTGTAAGGTAGAAAAATCCAAAGTAGTTGTCAACCAAATTCTAATTTTCACAGCTCCTTTTCCCTGGTTTTGACATTCCTGATGGGAATGTCACCCATAGTGTCACCAAAGCCCAGGAAATCTCTTGTGACTTCTGTTGTGCACAGTTTCACAGGTTTCCTTGCTTGTCACTTTTCCCAGTGGCATGCTCCGCATGGCCAACTGATGGACTACCCCGATGACAGAGCAAACAGACACACTCAGTTCACAGAGGTACATAATGTTTTGTGCGTCATCCTTTCACCTTCAATGATCTGAAAAAGGTACCTGACCTATGCCATTTTGCTATTCAATACCACTTTACTTGTAGCTGCAAAAGACCACCAACTGATAGTGAGTCAACCGTGAACATCCCGCTGAGCGGTGAAGGGAAGGGATTGTCCCCAAACCTTTGCATCTGTCTGCTGCTCTGATAGAAGCTGATTCCTGATAAAGAGAGATGTGACAGTGAGGCAGGTAACAGGAATGGATGACATCCCAAACGCTCTACAGACAAAGAATGAATGTCACACTCTTCAGAAGACCAAAAGGCATGTGACTCCCTGTGATGTATGGCAGGACAGTATGGGCCTGTAGGACATATATATAATTGTATTTCAGCTGGATGAAAAGCTTCCTCTCCAATGGCATGTTGTGGGTAAACAACCCCTGGCACTATTTGCGTGTGCTCTATGTTACTCCAGAAGAGTGGGTACACTTTGAATACCTGGGGAGATTAAAAAAAAAGAAAAAAACACTCATCAATAATGGAAATATTCAGTTAATTACTTCCGAACTACTGTGAGATCTCCCTTTTCCAGACCCCCGCACTGCAGCAATCCCCTCACTTAACCCCCCCCACACACACAGATACACATATACACACACACACACACCACACGCTATTACATGGAAGCAGAGGATAAATATGGAAATGGGAAGTCATTGCTAAAACATGGCAGCTAACCTTCTGTGAAATGCACTTTTTGGATTGTGACCTCGTGCTTTGTTGTTTGTGTCACACCCTCCTCTGTGTGGCGTGAATCTCCAGAGGCCACAGCAAGCGATGCGCGCTGCAGTTCTACCTGCCCGTTCCACAGCTATGATGTCAAACTTTGCGCTGAAATATTCATGCCTGCCTGCACTCCAAATATGCGTACAAACACAAGAGTAATTGCTTGTATAATTACAAGAAAAGATAACAGGTTGGGTGTGAAATGGTACCAAATTTTGGACACATTCGGCTCCTAATGATGAAAGGGAAAAGCTTTTTACATGACAAACATATCTTTTGGGGATTTAATTGAAAAAGTTGCTTTCAAACCAATGCTGATTGAAAAGTAAATTACACCTCGATTGCAAGCCTGAGTAACAGAGAATTCAACACCCACAAGGATTATTTTTAGTGAACTACTTTACTGATCATCACAATGCTGATATCAATATGTCAAAGAAAAGTTCAGCGTTTAAGTTATGTACCGCCTTTATTCTGACTACAATGCAACTGATTGTAGTGGATGAGAAAAAAACAGGAATGCTTTATTCTATTTTGTCCTCCTGCAAGTATTTGGATGATGTTAAGTAAAAAAGTAAGCATTCATGTTTGGGTGAAGTACAAGAACAAGGAAATGTCTTCACCTGAATTTCTTTGATCAGGTGAAGTTCAGTCATGGTCAGTCATTAGACTTAGGCTGTAGCCACTGGCATTGAGAAGAATTCTGTGGTTTCATTCAACTGAAAAAGCAAATTTAATCTGTAAAATGACAGCCTCATAGAAATGGCACATTAAGCTTATTCTTGTTGACCTGTTAGAAGTTGACATGTTACTGTTTATGTCCATAAAAGCAAGTGGAAGTACCTACGGAATAGCATGTTGCTCATAAGACTATTCAGAAATAAATCAAGGTTTTTGCCTTTGATACTTATTGTAACACCTTATTTACTCATTGCTAGATAATGGAGACAAGGCTGTTGAGTATTCATAAAGAATAAATCTTTGCTTCAATTTCGCTTTGGACATGCAGCCTCGGTTTCTCCTTCAAAGAAATGGTACATTTACCTCAGAAGAGTAGTGCACACATGGCTGCCCCAAATACCTGATGGAAGACACTTTCTACAGGACGGATGCCTGAAAACCTCACCAAAAAAATCACCTTCTCCTCCAAAGCATTTTAAAAAGTTGAAAGGGGCCAAATTGAGCCTCACCTTGTGTATTTTTTCAAACCATGTAAAAGTAATGGGATTTTGAATGAAAATGTTATGAAAATTGTTCTATAACTCAGACTCAAATGGGCAAACATTATGAAAAGTCCAGCTTCAGTTCATACATCTATGAAAATATATATTTAAAAAAGTAAAAGATGAAAAAAGGGGTGGGGGGGAGCTGTCCAAAATCCCATGGACTTTTTTTTCTTTTTGTTTGATCGGGGGGAAGTGCTCTCAGGAGCATCATGACCATCAATAAGCGTCGAAGAGCTACGTAGCAATCAGAAAAACGTGACACAAGACCTGTCGAGCCACCTACGCTCTTGCTGCTGATTGGCGTTACGCAGGTATCCGGCTATTATTTAATACCGCATGGCTCATTCATCAAGACTGGATCTGGCTGTAGGACGAGTCAGTTTCTGCTCAACTCTGCACCAGGGCGCACGCTGCTGACTCCTTTACTTGATATTTTTGTTCGCCAAGAACCAGGTAAAGACATAATGCACGGTACAATGCTTCGCGAGGTTTTTGGGGGTCTTTTGGTCATTTCCATCAATCTTCTTTCTCATTGAATGAAGAATTTGTTTTGGTAACAAGAGAGAATTAAGAGAAAAGACTGTTGGTGTTTTCTAGGCGAAATAGCTTAAGTGAACAGATTAATATAACGATTGAATAACCATGGAATAAGGCAAACTAACAGTATCCCAATGCGCCTTTGCGCACACGGAGTGGGTTGTGTGCAACAGGTGTAACTGATTCCTAAATTATAGAAAGGGGAAAGCCTTTAGATTATCAGGAAAAATATAACAGAACTGTTTGTTCTTTTTTGTCTTTTTTTTAGTACTAAAAATGAAAAGAGGTCTGCTTCTGATGACTTTGTTCCTCATCGTTAAACTTCGGTACAGCCAGTCCAGATGGGAGGACAGCGGCTCGCGCAGATCAGCTTTGGACGTAGGTTCCCCGAGATGCGCACTAACAGATTTTCAGGAGATATTTTTTACACGAAGCTGATGGTTTTTTTGTTTGTTTGTTTGTTTGTTTGTTTTTGTCTTCATAACTGTCAAGACTATAAGCGTGGAAGAGCTGAAGCGAAACAATCTGAAGAGGTACACTGACTTGGATTATGACAGCTTTGTGGGGCTGATGGGCAAAAGAAGCGATGGTGAGTCCTCCTTTCGACATGCCAAATATCCTGCTGATTTTACGAAGGCTTTCTGCATTGATAAAAATGTTAATGTATGATAGGAGAAGAAAAATCCAAACAAACATTCTTTTCAGCTTGGTGTCACAAAAAATTCCCTTTTGATGTGTTTGAACAGAGGCTGATGCTGTGCAGCCACCCCGAAAAAGTAAGGTCTAATTATGTCACAACGGGATGGATTGACTTTAAGTGTTTCTAAATATACTTACCCGGGTTGCTATTTGTTTATAGGGGAAATGGATGACATATTTGTGGGTCTTATGGGAAGAAGAAACTCGGAGTCTGGTGAGTGGGACTATACATTCGCCTCTCCTTCTTCTGGTGTTGCCATGTAGTGTATCTGCAGATTATGAAATAGTCAACTAATATTGTCATCAAATGACAACGCATTTGACTTGCAATGTCTGCTGGTGTAGATAATGGTGAATGGAGGAGAGAGTATCCAGAAAGGAGAGGGGTTTTTCTCAACAAGTCCAGGCTGAGGTGAGTGCCCCATGCATCACCATAACTGACGCCCAGCCAGTCTGATAAAAGACACAATTACATCAGGCAGAAGAGTTTAAATGTGTGAAAGATTTTTAAAATAATGTCTATGTTTAAAAAAAAATAAAAAAATCTTGTTTGTTTTACAGTTATGTCATGCATTATGTATTGTGCGTTTTCACAGGTTACTCCAGGGACTGTAGACTTTCAGGCTGACACGGCTTTCATTTGGTTACGATGAAAGAAGATCACAGAGAAACAAACGTCCTGATGAAAATACCGCACTACATCTGATGGCTGGATAATGAAAGTGACCACACATCAACCAGATTGTAACTGTTTTACCTGAAACACAACGAATAATTACCTGTGATCATTTCTATTTCTTTGTTATGTATTCTCTTTGTCAAAAGTTCCAAATAAATGTAATTTTTATAAATAATTGATTCATTTCACTTCCAGCATGTGTATTTTCCTATAGATGAGTCTTTAAATGTGACAGCAGTATCATTCAAACAGACCAGATGGTTTAAATTTAACATGACATGTGGTATTGGCTATAAATGTGATTTAAAGCGCCCCTAGAGAGGCACAGACTATACAATCCCATGCAGCAATTCATGTCAGTAAAAGAATCATATTTGGTTGCAGAGTTTCCATTTCTTTCAGAAATGTTGCGTCTTCCCCAGATTGGATTTAAAGCTGATTGAGTTGAAAAAAAATTAAGCAAAATTCAAACTGAAACCACAAAGACTTTAAAAGATCAACGTAACTCCAAATTTATTGATGTACATTCTTCAACAGGCCAAAAGAGAAAACATGCAGTCTCATTAAAAAAAAAATCACAAAAATGGCCATAAAATGGATTCACAATGCAAGACATCAACTAAGCAACAAAAAAAACAAAATAAATTACGTTGTTGATTATGTCCTTTTTTTTACGTCATCAAAAAGAACTACCGCACGGTGTGGAGCTGCCACTGAGCCATGCTCAGACTTTACTCGGTCCTGCCTCTACCACCAATTGTTATTGAGTACTGATCTGTAAGTTCAGAGAGTATATTTGAACGCTTTGTTTGAAGAAAATCCCAATTTGTCGATATACAGAATGGGGTAACAGACTCATCTGCAAGAGTCAGTCTCCTGTCAGCCAAAATGAAAGAACCCTGTCGTACATCAAATGTGGACTCTATGGAGACCCGGCTGTGAATGCATCATGGTTGTGGTGTGACACCGCAGTTCCAGTCTCAGTCAGGTTGGAGTCTAAACTGTTTTTCAAATATGATTCATGTGTCGTTTTGTTTCCACTGACTGGCAAAGCAGAGACCGTGTGATTCCAACCACCCGCCACTTCCTGAGCTGCTTTGTGCCCCTTTTTTGCGGCGGTCTGTGAGGGTGGGGGGGCGGTCGCGCTGTGGGGTGCAGAGGGCAGATAGCGGGGTTTGTAGCCAAAAGCTCTCAGGTGGTAGGTGTAGTACTCCAGCGTGTACATGAGCTCTGCCTCCACGTAATGGAAGGACACAGCCAGGTCTGAACAGCACTGAGGACCCTACGGAAGAACACCACACAGATCACATGAGAAAAGCACACAACGGAGAGCAGGATACAACCAAGACATTACACTTTCATAGAAAGAAGACCGGTAACAGTCAAATCATCATTTCATGAATAAACCATTTGTCAAAATAAGCAGAAGCCTCTTCCGTCCATGTCTTAAATCCATTTTAACAGTGGACAGGGTGCTCATGGCCAAAAAAAGAAGCGGACTCCTTACTATATGATACATATTTAACATATACAGTATATATGTAGTGACCTTGAATTGAAAGCGAGTATTGAAAATGAATTAATGGATTATAGTTTGTATCGTTAACGTGCCATTCGTAGCAATTGGTTCTCCTGCAGTACATTCCATAAGTATCACTGAACAACGCAGAACAGCAAGAATTCCATCTGCCATTACTAATAAATTTGTACATTTTTCATGACTATTTTGAAATGGAGCCTGATGTTTATTTGTAAGCTTGTGGGTATAAAGAAGTTTGGGATAACCAAAAAATAACTACAGTGTTTTCTTTTTTATTTATGACCCTCAAGCTATGGGAATCAATCAATTTCTGTGTCCTTTTTGGGTGGTTACTGGGGTCAATAGCTAAGAGACAGCACTTAATGTATATCAACACAAGACAAAGACAATTTTACATATCTTTTGGAAAAACTGTCATCCCAGTTCCATTTATAGAGATAGATAAAAAAAACAATTATTTCATTATTGAAAATTAAATTGTTTTCTTGTCCCCTCAAAAACAAGAAACAAAGCAGCTCTGTACACTGACAGTGCGTGACAGCGTCAGTAATGAGCCAGTCTCGTTTTAATTACAAAGTACAATACATTAGTTGCATCATCGATGACAAATGGACCAATTTTCTTTTTGTTGACAGAACATCATCTGCGCTGCAATGATCTACTTCACTGTGAACTCTTTTATCTCAGTTTACAAGCTTTATATGGGGGGTCAGGTACAGAATCTATTAATTTATTTGCCTAATTATTCTAGCTCTGACAACTCCTCTCAAGCAACCAGTATATTTTGTAAATGTACCCAAAGCAGAATGAGCAGTATATGCTACACTACTCAAATTAAGTTTTAAAATAAGGTTATAATTAAAGCTACAACTTAAATAAAAGAATGCTTTCACATCAAAGGATGATGGTATTTTTAACTTGAGGTTCAGTCCTTACTCTGCATGTCTTCTCTAACCCGACTCGACCTCTTCTAATAAGGATAATCCACACACAGGATGTCAGCCTACTAAGAGCGACCTGTAATTGGCTTTCATGGTTATTTGATTAGATGTTTTTTTTTTATTGCTTTCCACCACTGAAACCTGGGATCACTTACTATGTAAGAAATATGAAGGGACTTGCCTCAACTATTGGGTAGTAACAGTAGCTCCAGTACCAGAAGCTCTTTGAGAATTTAGTGGTCAGGTGATGCTCCGGCACAAACGGGTGAAAAGTTTCTCGATGCAGCGTGTCTCTGGAGTCCCCCGCCAGAACTCCCATCTTCTCCAAACACTGGCCCATTGCAAGGTCTTCCACGGGGGTGGTGTGTGTGCAAGCCTTGGTCCGAAAACCCTCCACAAATCTCTTCAGGGCCTCCTTACTGAGTACATAGCCTGCACCCCCACTCATGTAGCCTTGCTTGGTGTAAGGCTTAAAGCGTTTACCAAAATAGATGGGTTCTTGAGGGGTGTGGTTGGACAGAATCCAGCGAAGGTTATCCACCACCACAAAGGTGTCATCATCCGCTTTTAAGAACCAGTCTGCTTCGTTCGCATGGTGCTCGTAGACATAATGGAAAGCTCGGATGGTCTTCCAGTAGAGCTTGTCCCTGCCCTCCTTCGTCTCCAAACCTACCGTTGGAAAGTCGGGGTCTTCCACGGAGCTCATGAATAGCACGATGTTGCAGTGCCGACTCCAGGTGTCCCGGACATGGCGGGCCCTACTCTGCAGGTTATGAGGACCCGTCATCACCCAACAGAGAACGCGTACCCTCTGGTACAGCGCATCAGCCACCCTGCTGTCCTCATCTGGGAGGGAGAACAACAGACAGTAAATACACAGATGCTCTAAAACTATTTCAGGAAACCGTTATCTCCGGTTGTACTATCATATTTTTAAGAAAATTGCTATTTATAAACTTATACAGAACAATTCTCTCTTGACTGAAACGTCAAGATGAAATTTCCATAATTTCAAACCCTCAAAAGTAACCAATGACTGTTCAACTAATGGAAATCCAAAGCACAACTTAATCCGTTGAGAGCTCACAGCACCTGCATGGTGAGGGTGAAGGAGGTTGATAAGAGCAGCTCCCTCCTTCCTCCAGGTCAGTGGCCTCTCCTCTACCGGTTTTGCTTTTTCCTGAGCTTCCGACAGCACTGGGTAGCTTCGCTCAAACCACACCTGGTGCAGGAAGAAGTACATGCTGCAGACCCCTATGAGGAAGCCCAGTGAAAAAGCCCATCTGGAGCTGGGGCCCTTCATGGCAACGGCTGCTCATGCACTGTGGCGTCCCTCGTACAGCACGTCTAAATGGAACCAAAACACCGTTAGGCCGTTTGAAAATCTAATCCCAAATGTACGCATATTTTGCTGATTAGTATTTATTTATTCATTTTTACTACAGTAAAGCAGGATTGAACCTCAACACCACTTTGATAACCTTACATTGAGCTTGTAAAAAAAAAAAAAAAAAGCCAGTGTAGATGTGTACCTGTAGGCATAGAGACACATTTTTAAATCTTGCTTTCCCAACTTTACATTTGTATGCTCACAAACTTGGCAGTAACAACGTGTTACATTTAGTTTAAGACAATAAAATCAGGAATATTCTCAAACACAGAAAGAAAGGTACCACGTTTTAGATCAATATTTGATCCTATTTTACCTTTGGTCACTTTTATAATGTTATGAAAGACGTCCATTATTTCATTTTTGCACGAGGACGTATTTATTTGTACTTGAAATACATGACAAGATATTAACGGGGTTGTGGGGTTGGGGGGAGGGGGGCTCTTCAGTTCTGATCCGAGAAAGGTGCGTACGCATGGGAATGTCCAAAGTGTGTCATGACACCACTTTAAATCTACACGTGCATGTGTGTGTTTATTACCTTTGCTGTGCGTTGAGTCATTTGTGAATACGTTATCCCTGCCAATCTCTGAGCATCTAAGGGTGTCCCGATATCGTCACAAGCCTTCTACAAATGTCGGCCAGGAATACATTCACTCGCCAGTTACATTCATCCGTCGTCTTGCTCTCGAGTGCAGTTCTCCCCTTATCGCGACGCCATAGAAGAACACCATAATGACAAATGCCACTGCACCTACATGCTTCACATGTAGCATTACAGATTAAGCTCCGAAAACGCGGCCTCTCATTGGTTGTCTGCCTGTGACGTTTGAGGAAGTCGCCCGCATCGTTTGGAACCTGACAATTTTTTAAACCTGACAAATGATTCTCTATACCAGTTTATTATATAATAAAAAAAGCATCTAAATAAAGTTTTGAAATAACGATTTTACAGAACAAAAGGGCAACGCTGTTGCAGTGTTTATTAAGTGTCATCCTAACGCCAAAAGATACAGTCCTTTAATTACTTTAAAAGAAGACGAATATCGTACAAAAAAATAATCTCGTACAAACTTGATCCATTTATACTGTGTTAACATTAGCAAAAAAATCACAAAACAAATCTCATATGTGTCCAATAGAGTGTAATAGTTTTTTATTTCATATAATGTCACTTTCATTGACGTTGTTTAGTTTTTAACATGATGGGTATCATAATCGACAACCAGTAGAAAGGAAATATTAAAGAGGTGATGAAAACGTTCAATCCAAAAGAGAGGAAGAGTCCAAAAGTAATCTTCCCTAAACTCTGAATAAATCAATTAAAATTACCGAAAGAAATCTTGGATTTGTGCCTCAGCTTCTCTAACGGAATATGTTAACAATTCAGGTTGGTTTTGAACAACAACGCTATTTAAGAATTGGACACACTATTCAAATAGGGGGCGAGTTTTTGCATAGTGGAACCTAACAGCAACCGTAAAGCAAATAGCCACGGCTTCTATTCCGTTTACCAGCAGCATATATCTATGTGAACTTGGATTGGGTTATTGTTAGCCCAGCAAAACGCACGCGGAAGTTCAGATGTCGCTGGACTTGAACAGAGATGAGCAGAGGAGTTTCTAAAGGGAATATTACTATTTCTGGTAAGACAGAGTTTTGCTTCTCCTGTTCATTCTTGTCCAGTGTTTTTATATTATTTATGTAGGATAATGCCCGAAAGGTAATTACATGGACTTTTTTCTTTTATTGCAAACTATTTACAAAACGGACTTTGTAATATGTATGTATCTTTGCTCTCCGGGTCAGGAAACCAGGATTACACAAAAGAAAATTACGATAAATACATTTTTACTTTAAAATCATTTATATGAAAAAGACTAAAAAACAAACACTTTAATGTTTTACCATCCTATTTACCTTTAGAAATAGGATTCTAAGTCCTTGTGAAGATTTAAGTGGCATAGTAGAAAAAGTCGATTCAAAAGACTTATTCAAATACAACCTTCATTATATTTTATTAGACTTTATATTAAATTTGATTCCAAGGAACGAGGAACTTCTCAACTTCCTCTACTCTAACTTAATATTTAATCTGAGCTTCTCATCTTTGACTTCCTCAACCTAAAATCTTTCATATATTTAGTTTTGTGAGCACACATTTTAGCAAATCAGTTTTTTAAATTTAACTCAATTGAGTGACTGTTGACGAACAAGTTACTTGAAATTTTTAAACTGAAGGTTTGGCCTTCACTGTATGCCAAATATGTCCAAAGTGATATTATTCAGACTGCCGTTTATTCACTTTTAAGGTGGGCTATAATCATATTCATCTATTCTCTGAGTTGACCTATACTATAAAAATCATAAAGTGATAACTAGATTGCACCATTTTTATGTGAATTTTTTTTTACTTCCTGAACTCTTTTAATGTGGTTTAGTAGTGATCACACTTCAGTTTCTTCCTTAGACATTCTCTGTCATACTCTGTCACCCAAAAACAAAGAGTTCAGCTTTGGTTTCAAAGAGCTTAACTGTGGTGACAGCAGTAAAGTAGTACATCCACAAGAGCTCATGAATCATTAATGCAATTGTTGGCGGTCCCTGAACTTTAGACGGGGTTCGATTTAAAACCTTTTGCTTGAGATAGCTGTAACAAAGCTGGTCCAGACAACACAGTTGATACATTTTTTTAAAAGTATTTTAACATTCAGCATTTCTTTCTAGTAATTTAGAAATCCCAACATATTCTGAACGTGTGGAAAAGGCAAATATAAAACCATAGTGTATGACGTTTAAAAGTATTTAAGAGACTGATGAGGTTGATACATTTGATTCAATAATGTTTCATGATTTAATTACAGACACACTACAGAGTTACACTCTCTTAAAGCAACCCTCTGATGCCCCTTCTGTGTCCACCTTCAACTGCAGCCTCTGAAACCAAAGTCATTATCATCAACTAGTGCAATTCCCTCCTAAGAGGGCTCAGTCTTGTGTGATACCATTGGTGGAATGATCACCCAAGTACCACCAGAGCAGAGGCGCCCCATTCCACTTTCATGAACCCCTTGGAAACTCTGAACCATGACTCACAGTTATCTTACGTTTCCTCTTACTTTAACCACATCCTTTTTGTTCACACACAACCATAAGGATGTTCAATCTTTCTCTAACAAGACATTTAAAATGTATTCAGGTGTTCCTTCTTCTGTATCCTTGTATAACTACTTTGCATTAAAGCACCTACTAAATGCATAAATGTAAATATTCAAACATGTAAATATAATTAAATAATTCTTCACATAATATTAAAAGACTGTTTTGAATCTATACAAGTTTAAATCATTACTGTTATTCAGCCTGAAAAGATAAAGTATTGTTACGTAAGCAAAAAAAAAAAGAAACAAAAAACCTTGAAATAGAGGTCAGGCATAGCAAAGCAAGTTCCCAATCAATGTCCTCCCCCTCACCATCCTTATTTGGAAAGAAACACAGCAGTTTTATATTACGACAGACTAGATGCAGAAGAAACCCACAAATGCAGAAGAAACCCTCAGAGAGGCTAAAATTATAAGATGTGAAAACACTTCTTACCCTCTGTAGCAAAATGTTCTTCCATAATGTTGAAACATTAGTACAAAAATCATGTTTGCTAAAGTTGTCAGAGCAAATATTAAAACCATCAGCAGTGTCACACCAGCAGGCGAATGGAAAAAAGTGAATGAGTCATTTATGAGTAATTTATGTCTTGTGTAAATAAATGTTTCAGTCAAAAACTTCGGTGAGGTAATTTATATCTTGGGTTTCGCAGTTTTTCTGTCACTGTCTGGAAAATCCATCACCATAAATTGTCCTAGGAGTTTTATTAAATCCTTGTTGGTGGCAAGATAGGAATCTGATTAACCAGGCAAACCACATTCTTAATCTAAACTTGTCAGAACAGGTCTGCGGGGTTGATTTTTGTTGTCAAAGCCGTTTTAGTTTGCTCATGGAGGAGCAGAAGTGGGAGTGGTTCATGTCCAAGGCGAATTTCTAGTCATCATGGGGAGTGGTGTTAGTATGGAGGTGGGACAGTCTGGAGGAGCATGGTCTGATCTTACATTCTTGTTGAGGTCATAAAAATTTTCTGTAGTCACAAACGGGTATAGGTCACAGGCGGGCGTTCATATTTGCGTCCATAGTCCACATGAGCTGCCACGCTAGCACAGAACGAAACTGCTCATATTATTCTGCCCACATTTATTATGCCCATATTTCTTTGCTTTCACATTTTGCAATTCTTTTTTAAAACTTTTTTTTTATTACTGGCAGCAGGTACGTTTATATTCCTCCGGTATTTTGCATGCACAGGCAAAGGTTGTTCAGCAAACTTTAAACATGTATTTTCTTGGACCCCTGCCTGGTTACATGCACAAAGGTCATGGAAGATGAATGCGTGATGTTTATTGCTCACTTTAAAAACTGTCTGTAACTCCCTACAAGTGGTCATTCACTGTTGAACACGACTTCCTATGATTCCTTTTCCTCCCCTGTCTGAAATTCTTGTGAGGAGCACTCGGCCCTGGACAGTATTTCGAAATGGAATTCTTTCCACCTCCTGATTATTGTTCCAACATTGCTTATTGCAACCTTCAGGGGTCTAAAAATTATATTCTTATCGAGATCAGAAAGATGTTTTGCTACAAAAGGATTACGCAGTCCTTGAGATAGCTCACTGGGTTTACCCGTCATGGGATATTTCTTATCTAAGCATAACATTATGTCTAATGACTCAAGTTTCTATTAGCCATGTGTTTAATACCTTTTCCCCCTTATTCTTCAGTATCAAACACAGCATAATGTTTGAACATCTTAGTTGGATTTCTTTGAATATTTGTATTGGATCAGTTGTTACTAAAATCTTTTAAAACTATCTTTCCAAAAGCACTTTTAGAGGTAATTTGAGGCATAGTTTGAACTTGGTCTTGCGTAATTTTTGAGTAAAATCAAACTCTTGAATTAAAAACAACTTGTGGCACTGATGCCTGGAACATTTTGTCATCTATAATAGAAAAGAGAGGGGGAAATGATCAAAGCTTTCTGTTTTTTTGAGCTGCCCTTTAGATTCGCGTAAAGTTTTCTGTTGGGAAAATCAGAAAGACATGTAGCAAGCCGGCATTATTTCCGGCTCAGTGAGGGTTCTTCTCTTTCAAACAAACCTCATTGCACCATCTAGTGCCTGCAGGCTTTCAAAGCGACCCCATGGGGTTGAGTTCTTTTTCGACGCAGCATATTGTTTGTTTCAGATACTCCTCTTTTTTCCCTCTTTTCTTTTTGTTATTGTAACTCAAAATTACACTAGTCAATGGAGAAACTGCATGTTAATAATGACTGGCCCCGCCTATCTCACGCAGTTGGAAGATTTTCTCACCCTTTGGCTCTTATTCTCCCCTATCACCACATGTCACCAGCTCATTGATTTTTCCAGGAACATATCTGACTGAAATGAAAACGTGCATTTTTCCTCTGTAGTACAAAACAATGAATTTGTCGTCCAACCTTTAAAAAATCCTCAGTGGTCATTTTTCTTATCTCAACCTTCTCACTGACAAGTTATCTTTCCCACGTTGAATCGATTGTAAATACCATTTATTTTTTCAAGCGTTGCCAGAACCTCTCCTCTTTAGTACAGTTCTGTTTCCCACTTCCGAGGCTTTGTTTTTTTCTGAAGAACTGCTCAGACCCATTTGATGTAGATTGAGGTTTCGGATTCTCTCATAATTTACTTCCAACAAAAATGAACTGTTAACTCTTTTTCACTAAGTTTTTCACAAAGTTCTGTTGCACTTACAAAACCTGTGCTTGTGCCTTCACAGATTTACAAGGACTGAAGATTATGCTTATGTGAAACTGTCAACATCTCATTTATCTCAAGTAAGCAGGTCCTCCCTTAAATAAAGACTTTTGTCTCTTAAATACCTTTTACCTTCTTTTTGCAATCATCTCCTCAGATGTTTAAGCAACATTCGAAGTGCTTCAGATGGATTTTGGTAGCTGGAATAGTTTTGCTACTCCTCTTTACATATTGGAGCCCTTTTACCAGCTCAGGTGTTGACTCACGACCAAAATGGGGAAGTCCAATACAGAAAGTCTTGACTCAGAGAATGAGGAGCATCTCCACAAGTTATCCTGACATTGCTTATCACATAAAGGAGAAAGTGGCATGGTGGGTTATGTATATACCTGATGGTTTTTTCTATATTTTTATCTTTCTTTTTTTTTCACAAGTTGACTGATTCTTTGCTGTTTTTTTCTCTTATACAGCCATTTGGCTCAAAATGCCTGTGTTTGCCACGTGGATGAAGAAAATTTTCACCTACCATTCTCCAGTCTGCTCAACCCACCTGTATGGGCTCATGATCTCCAGCATGCCTTCTTAGAAAACCACCCTGATCCTGATGGCATAAAACGTAATAGAGTTCAGGAGTACGGCAACTTTCGTAGAAGGTAAAAAATAATACTGTAGCACTGGTATACACAGCGTTTTGCTATAACTTTAATAGCCACGATTATATGGCAACTTTTAAAGATTTGTAGTCAGTTTGATCAATTTAATAAATTGAATCCCTCCACAATCACCACACATGTTGCCTTTTGTCAGCTTGAATAATCTTTTTTGTACGATAGAAATTTAGATTGATTCTCTGTATTTATACAGTTGCTCTATGTGTGTAAAGGTCCTACAGCCCTGCAGATGAGCTTATTGTAGCCAAGGCCAACAGTCCTCTTCAGTACCCCATCCAGGGCGTGGAGGTGCAACCCCTCAAAACCATCATAATCCCTGGTAATGACATGTTTTTTGTTTTTCCTAACCTTGACCTCCCAATTCCTCTCAGGTTGCCTTCTCTACAAGACTTCACTGAAAAGCTGTAATGTAACTTCTCATTCATACATTCCAAAAATAATTTATCTTTTTCCACAGGCCTAGGTCTCTGGACAGGAGCAAGATCAAACTATGAAGTAACTTCCTTATTTTTAAGTTGTAGTGGAAATTACTATAGTTTGACATTGTTCACTTACTTTGTCTTTCCCCAAAACAGGTGCACTTTACTGCATCGATGGGGACTTTTGATGTTGCTGCCACTGTGGACATGGTCTCCATTAAAGGAGAAGGAGAGAAGCGCATGACACTCTCAAGTCCTCTTCTGCCTTCTCTTAATAGGCAGCTCCAATTTGTCACCTATACAAACAACATATTCCATCCAAAGACGGCTGATTCAAGTAAAGTTAATATGCAAATGCTATGTTCACACTCGGTGTAGAAGCTCATTGCTACATTTATCTGTCATTTCAACCAAATCGTTGCACCAATAGAAAACGTTTTCTTTTATTAAAAGATCCATTTGAAACATGCAAATGACCTAAGAGAGTATTGTTCAATATATATATATTTCTACTGTTGTTGCCTCACTCTGCAGTACAGTTTGAAACCGAAGGTCACCAGTCATTTTTTACCATCAAAGTTGGACACAGAAAGGTTCCAAAACTTTACAACTCAGGATACAGTGAAGGTTTGTGGAGCCATACAGTACGCACTACAGTACATTTTCATTTTATGCAAAAACATTCACATTGCTCTTTTGTTTGCTCTTAGATTATAACATCACTGCTCTGGTCACCATAGCCACAAAGACTTTTATTCGCTATGACAAACTCAAAGTCCTTATTGACAGCATAAGGAAATATTATCCCACCATCACCATAGTGATAGCAGATGATAGTAAAGACCCCCAGCCAGTGACCGGTCCCCACATAGAACATTACATCATGCCATTTGGAAAGGTAACACAGTGGTATTTTTAAGGTATCTCCCGCTTGGGTCATTAGACAATTTGTCTAAAGTGTGTTCATTTCTGTTTACATTTTCAGGGTTGGTTTGCAGGAAGAAATCTAGCTGTATCTCAAGTGAGTACAAAGTATGTCCTTTGGGTGGATGATGACTTCATCTTTACTGGAAACACCAAGTTGGAAAAGATGGTGGACATCCTAGAGAGGACTACTCTGGATCTGGTGAGATGCATGTCCAACAATATTACAATTCACATCAATGCTTTAGACACAAAAGGAATTCATTAGTCAATTTTGAAAAAAAAAAGTTTTGATAACATTCTAACTTTAATGTTACTGTCTGTACCTAGATGAAGGGTTGCATTTAACTAAACTGAACAAAACAATTTTCCTCTAACATTGGAAAAAGCATGAATGAGTTGTGCATAACTATATGTACCATGTTTATGAGGGGCTCTTTAAAGGAGGCTGTTTTGAGTCACATTCAAAGTAATGAGGAAATGAAAACATGTTATTTAGTAGATTCCGTAGAGACTTGTTGACAACAATCCTAGGAATATTTGTAAGAACCTGGTAGCATGAACAACAGTGTCACTAAATGCATGCAAAGTATTATATTGGTATAGTTGTGGCTGAAGAATATTATTCTCAGTGCTATTTTCAGGAGCTTTCAATAATGTTTGGACTACATTTATACAGTGGTTTTAAAACTATGTCATGTGGATTATTTTACTTCTACCTCCCAATAATTATAGAGATGCAGAATTGCGGAAGTTTACTTTTTTAATTAATTAAAAATGATTATTCTTAACTTTAGACCATATGTTACATTTATATACATAGAATATAGCTCAGTTGTCAAAGATTCACGCTGTTGCACACAATTGCTTGTACTGAATCTTTACTAGTGTAAGTTATGTTAGATGGTGTAATTACAGACTAGGCCGGATTAGCAGGCATGACTCTTCTTTAAAAACCAGCATCTCATCATGTTCTTTGGTAGGGTACTAGGGTTAATTTATTTTTACTCTCCTAAAATCCTATGTTTTTTAGCATGAATTAAAAGTTAGATAACAGGATTTTCACATGCGTACGACAGGATATGCTTCAGTTGTTTTGTGATTTTTTGTTCCGTTTTACTTGTTTTTCTCCTGGTTTTTCTCTATTTGTAAAGGTACTAGTAATCGTGTTGCTTATTCTTTAGGTTGGTGGTGCAGTCAGAGAGGTCACAGGTTACACAGCCACATTTCGCCACACAATTTCTGTGGAAGACGGAGGAGAGGACGGCGATTGCTTACACATGAGACTTGGATACCACCATGTCATTGAGGGTTTCCCCAACTGTGTTGCAGCAGATGCTGTTATCAATTTCTTCATGGCTCAGACAGATAAAGTGCGACAGGTTGGCTTTGATCCACGACTGTCAAGATATGGTCATCTAGGTTTGTAGTCATTTTAATTTCATTTGTAAATATATATTGATACATCTATATTTCTAAGATTTTCTGTAAACAATGCTGAATTGATTCTGAAAAAGTCTGGACACAATTCTGAAAATCTAATTTTGTTTTTCTTCTTTTTTCATGCTGCAGAGTTTTTCATTGATGCTTTGGGCTCCCTCCACATCGGTTCATGTAGTGATGTCATTGTAAATCATGCTTCAAAGATTTATCTACCCTGGACAAAATCAGATGGACAAAAGGCCTATGAACATTTCCGGTACTCGTCTACTGGTGGGCATGATAGCAATGAAATATTTTACTTTAAAAATAGGTTCAAGTGCATGACCAGTCAATGACTTCAGAGCTCAAGGTGAGGGGAGGAGATTGGCACACATCACAGGTAAATGAGAAATGCTTGAACATTTTTTTTCTTTGGTAATTATGTAGTAATCGCTGAAATCCTTGAAACACAATCATCAATCTCTCAAATATTTACATTTCTATACATTTCTAAACTATTGTTTAGAGGAAGTGATTTCTAATCACTCCGCTCTCAAAAAGGCCCCAGTAGGCCAGCTTGTGTCCTTTTCACTCATATTTTCTCTTTATTGTTTGTTTGAACGTCTGTTATCTGAAATAAATATTTGTTTATATTATCGGTGAGCAATTAGACATTGTTAAAAATTTTATTTTAGAAATGTGTTTTCTGTCATGTTGAATTTGATGCACTTATCTGACAAATGATCCATTCAAATGAATAACTAGTGAAGATAAACGGACATGTAGTTATGCTTTGCACTGGAACTGTGAAATGGAAAAAAGCTTTTTTAATTTGATTAAATGCATTTGATTAATTTGATTAATTTGATTCAAATTAATTTTTTAATTAATTTGAATCTCTTCAAGAGCTATTTTTATTTCAGCATACTACTTTGACTTTCATTATTTCGTTACATGTATGTTGTGCATATGACTGTATCCTTTATGTTGCTGTTAGGAGATGGAAGAAAATGTTATACTTTAGATATGGCCAGTAGCGCGGTACTGTTTAAACATACGATCAAGTCTCAATTCTTGCCTTACACGGCACCTGTGATATTAATGGTTACTGTTCAAAATACTGATTCGATTCTGATCAATAGAAGGGTGAAAAATTGTTCAAATGCACTATTTCTTTTTCACCCTTCCTTACACCATTAATTTAGTGTAAGAAACATGGCACGACTGTGGTATTCACTGTGCTACTTGAGGCTTCGGCTCTTGAACGAACGGCAGATGGTCATTGCACTGTTTTACCACAAGATGGAAGCAAAATGTCAAAAGAAAAGATGCAGCAGCGTGATGAAATATGATGCACTGCTTGAAATCTGTTTAAATTTTCTTACATGATTTTAATGAATGTTTCCACTGTTTTTTTTTTAACTGTTCAGTAATAATAGTTATTTTTCTGTGTGTATCAAATCCACTGTTGTCTGATTTAGCTAGTTTTTATTGTTTTTAGTGGTTTCTACACAAGAACATATCATTGTTATAGACACATATGCAGAAAGGCATTTGTCTCTGTTTTTTATTGGTGCAAAGCACTATATTTGTACATCATGTAAGCATGCTCAATGTGCCCGTTTTTGTGCCAATAGCTGTAAGCTACGGGATTATCTTTGAAAGGCTGATTTTCTTACACAATTTGCCGAGTATTCATTATTTATTTTATTACAGATGTTTTTTTCAATGTATGCCCGGTGTCTGTGATCACATTAGTAGGCCTGGCTGTAGAATCTGGCTTGGTGAACATTTGGCCAGATTTTGTGCCTCATGTTCTAATTGAAGTGGACTACTTCCTGCCAATTAGCAAAACACTCCTTGAGCTTTAAAGGGAAAACCCAAAGGGCACAGTGTCTAGAGGCCTCTTTGAAATATGCACGGGAAGAAATTAATAACCTGGCCAGCCAACATCAAGCAAGAAAATAATTGGTGTTTTCTCATTTTTTACTTATTTTGTCCTGGTTTTGAACTCAATACAAATAGTTTTTATCAGGTCAAGGTAAATGGAATGAAATGCAGAGCTGTGGGAGTAACGCTTTCATCTACTGAACAGCAGAGGGCAGCATGGTTGCAAAATATCCTATCACTTCTCATTACTGTGAAGACAAATGTTACAAAGGTTTTTCCAACAGACACGTTTCTTCAGAAAAAATGGACCACAAATGTTTAGCAGCAGTATTTTACTGGTGTTGATTTTTGTGCAGCATGTTGAATAAAAAAGCTTTTTTTTTTATCACGGCTGCCCTTTGTCTTACGCTGCTTAAATTCTTTGTCTTTCTTGTTATTTGAATCTAATATTATTGAGGATTTTTCGTCAGGGCTCAGTGCAGATGTAGAAATTCACAGCATCTAACTGAATACAAAGGCTGCTTTTCTTTCCTCCTCAAAATCTGACAAAGTGGAATGCTTCACATTCCACAATCTTCCCCAGCAAAATGTCATTATTTACAAGAGCTGTTGTGATTCAGAAAAAGGACAGAAACATGTTTTCCAATTGTTTGTAATATTTACTGATTTTAATTCATATTTCAATAGTGAAAAACAACTGTTTTTGGAGTCATATATACTGTGCTCAAAACCAACCGATGACACAGGTGCTGTACAAAGATCTTTGGCTATGATTGAAGTTCACATATAAAAAAGTCTGACTGACATTGGTTTCAATACACATGGTGATATCTTCAAAGTTGGCTTTCAAAACATAAATAGTAAAGTATTTTAACAACCTATGCAGTGCACTTTGTATTTAGTTGCATGACAAACAACAAACATTAACTAAATAAATATTACTTTGCCCAAATACATAATTAATGCATACAAACAGACAAAGTTGGTGTAAAACCTTGATATTTTCTTTCTGCTGGATGACAACATTTCTCCCACTGGGCTTAAACCCCTTTTTAAACACTTGAGTGTGAATCCATTATCAGCAAAAGAGCTAGTAACACTGTAATGGAAAAAGAATTGTAATGCATCCTGCTACAACAGGCTACTGCTTCTTTGACACACTCATATACAGTACAAGCCCAACCAAATGCTGGATTGCTCCTGTACAGCTGACAGAGGCTGCCTTTGCTAATAAAACCCAGGTCCAGATGCCCGTTCTCATTTTAGTCCCAGATACTTGGTCACGGTGAGCGTGACTCATCATTGTCCTCCTGGCTCACACCCAAACTGTTGTAGTGTTGTCTGGAGGTTTTTCCTGCAGCAGATGACAATAGATCTATAATATTTTGCTTTAAAAAAAATTATGATAATGAGAAAACAGTCTGTACTCTGTATAGATATTACAGAAATATATTCCACAAATATACTGTGTATATTTGTGGAAATAGTTGAATCTCTACCTTCTGTTGTTGAATGTACATCACAGCATCGTGGACAGTGACAAAAATATGTTGCGGGTTCATGTGCTTCATCAGGCCACTGGATGTCAGGATCTTTAGGACACTCTCTACAGGGATACAATTGTGTAATCTGTCTGTCTGTCTGTCTGTCTGTCTGTGTCAGAAAACAACTGGAAGAGAAACTTTATGGAGTGATTACTTACCATTGCAATTTGCCAAATACACATGAACTCCGATTTTTTGGCACTCGGTACACATCTGCAAAAAGGCAAAAGCCATCAAAGTGAATGGATAAATGGGGCAGGACACTGTAATCTCTTCTTCATTTTTTTATTCACTAACCTGTGTGAAGAGGCGTGCTCCCGCTACATCAACAAATATCACACTGCCGCAGTCAATCAGCACGGCTTGGACTTCACTCTCAGCTGCTTCTACAGAGAAAAACAAGAGCAGAATTCGCTGCCATTTTATGTGGTGCAAAAGGGTGCAAATAGCAAAGTAAAACTGCCTTAGGAGTTTATTTAAGAAAATGTCCTCACTTACCCGAATGAAAGAAGTCATTTTCAGAGGAAAACGATGTGTTTGCAATGCCTCGTTCCTAAATATCAGCACAGGTACAAAACATTGCAATTTAAAAAAAATTTTAACTCTACACTGTGTGTAAGAAAATATCTGAATTATTTTTTTTTTTTCATACCACTGTGTTGATGGCAGTTTCTCTTTCCCGTTTCTCCAAAGCTTTCCTGGCCTTCTCTGTGCTGCGGATCCTCTCTGGCGTGAGGCCCAACAGCTTGCTCATTTGTTCTCTAAAGAAGCTGCGGTTGCCATAGTAAATGGGTCCGTTATAAGTCAGGATCTTCACTCCGGGCACCTCATAACACTGAAGCAAAAAACAGGACAGAGGTTTTTGCGTGTAATCATTAGAATTACAGTCAATGCCTGAAGTTGAGTTTTCAACGGAATCTTTTGAAAGGAATAAAAACCCCGGACTATGCTCACCTTGCTGTGGTTCTCCAGAGATCTGTAGATCTCTGTATTGCTTGCCCGTCCAAGTACTGAGCAACCAGCCCTGTTGAACAATTTTCAATCAATTACAAAGTGAAATATTATGGAACACGATCTGCCAGACTACTCAGACCACTTTTCTTTCTTCAGCTTTTCAGTTTCTGTACGAAAACTGATGAATTTGATACTCGTACGCTTCATGTTTATCTGAATTTCTAGATGCATGGTATTCACCAAAGCATAACATTTTTTAAACAACCCCAGTTGCTAGAATGTTGCAGTCTTTGGACACAGTCACTGGAAAATATACCTTTGTGTGCGACAGATCACAGTCATCATAGAGAACACCACTCCGATCGCCAGGCCCAGGTCCACATTGAGTACTACCACAGACAGCCACGTTACAACCCAAACCATCTGCATCCACACAGAAACAACAGTGTGGGGGGCGAAACACAACAATTAACAATGGAAGCACGTCACTGTAATAATGGTTAACTCTTGCCAAATATTTGGAAGGCTAGCGCAATGATGCAGGTGATTAATCTCATGTTCTCCTCTCCCCTGTTCAACTAGTTCATTGTTTGATTGATGATCTTAGGATTCCACGAGTCATAATTTATGCATCACCATTTATGACAAAGCAGGTACTGTTCAAAAGAGCATGTCTTAATTTTGTCAGGAAGCAACTAAGCCTATATAAGTCCAACTAAACTGAGAATAGGGTTAATATATTCTTGGTTTTCTCTTCTCGTTTGGGGACTACACTCTACCCTTTAATGACCCTTACGAAGTCAAGCTTGCTGATTCTCCACAGTTCAGGCAGGTCTTGGAACTGCAGGAACATCTGTCTGAGACTGGTAACGTTGATGCATGCCAGGACAGCCTGAAAAGAGAGAAGGTGGGATAAGGTGGGTGAAATTAGCCATTCTCCGCTCGTGATGAGCTGTGGTTTAAAAAAGCACACCTTAGGTAGGAAGTGGAACAGCGGCCCAATCAACAGCAGGACAATCAGGACGACCAGACCCGTGAACAAGCCAGAGAGCTGCCAGAGACAACACACAAGCACAGTCACTAACACAACTAAATAAGGAGTTTTTTAAAACGTATATGTGAAATTATGATTTTGTATTTTCATTTTAAAATATATGAACTCTGCATCCACGTGACTTTTTATGTTGTCATAGTCCATTCTGCTGAGCTGATTTAAGGTGAGATAAGCTGCTTTTTATTAGAAATTTATCAACGCTGAGAACTGGAGGTCCATTTTTTTCCCTTAAAATTTTCATTATCAAAGCTTGAGCTTTAAAGGAAGTAAACACCCTGAGGTTACCCTATCACCACCCTGATAAGTTTATCACATTATGTCTACAGCTAATTATTTTCCAGGTGATGCAGTATCACAGCTATTACCTAAACTTGTGTTTCTGATGGTGTGATTGTTGTTTAGGTGTGAAATTGATTTTATACTGAGGCCTTGTTGTGTTCTATGCACTCTACCTGCGTGTGTCCTCCGGCACTCTCAAGTATGTTGGTGGTTGCAAGAGTGGCTGAGCTTGGGAAACAGGTGAAAAAGGAAGAAACGGTGTTGGAGATTCCGTGGGCCAGCAGCTCCTAAAACCAGTCCGGTTCAATACAATATTATGACACATCGCAGGAATATAATCTGACATTAGGGTAAGTGCTTAAATATCATTGAGTTTTACCTGGTTTGGATGGATAGAATAACCATGTTTATCAGCATAAATCATTGCCAGTGAGACAGACACAGCATATCCAACAAATGTTATGGCGATTGTGTCTCCAGCAATGGCAGGGAAAGTGTGAAAGGCTGGCAACTGCGGTTTTGGGAATCTGGGGACACAAAGTTAGTAACAATTAGTCAGAGAAGGCAACTTTAGAGATTGTACATGTTGTTTTTTTCAAACTCACCCAGCAGGGATATGACCAACTATCTCAATGTTGTAAGTAGTGTCCAGTGAAGAGGCATAAGTCACGCATGTAGCAATAATCACCTAAAAAGAACAGCATACAACTCCCATTAGAAATCTCTCCACAAAATTCAAATATTGAAACTTTCATATGTTTAGACTTTAGCTCACCGTGAGGATCTCCACAGGGATGGGCGTACGAAGATGGCGCCGATAACGCGTGTTGACCTCCTTAACAGGGACCAATACGGCCAAACACACCACAGAGATCAGCAGCTCGGTCGTGTTGGTGTGAGGCAGGTTCTCCATCACCGACGCTAAGGTCTGAGCACACACACCAGTGAGTAGTTTCACTTCTCGAATGATTCCTGGGGAGATCCCCCCCCCCCTAACACGATGCCGTGATCACCTTGAAGAGGGAGAAGGTCCCAGTGTGGCGCGGCAGACGCAGGCCCAGCATGCTTTGCAGCTGTGAGACGGTGACGTGGAAGGCTGCAGCACTGGTGAAAGCCTTCACGATTGGCTCCGATAGATAGGTGGAGAGGAAGCCCAGCTGAAGGCCAAACATGCAAAGCTGGGGCGCAAGAGGCGAACAATGTTTTGGAAACCATTCCGTTTGCTCATTTGCAACACACGTTATTCGGTTTGTGACATTCTGGCGTTTCCGTCTTACCATAATGATTCCAGAGAGAAGAGCAACCGCCGAAGCCACTCCAATTCTCTGGGCCTCAAAGCTGTCCACCTCAGACGAGCTGGAGTTCATCTCCAGAGGAGTGGGAACCAGCTGCTCCACTACGGAGCCTGTCATCAGACTCACAACAGCAAAGGTACCTGCAAAGGTAAAGTCCAGTCAACAGTGGAGATCAAAAGACCAGAGGAAACTATTATCTATAGGAAATATATTATTCATTATATATGAGAAACTATTTTCAAAGCACATATTTCTGCTGACTGAAGTTTTTTTTTTACTGTTTATGAAAGCACAATGGGTGGTATGTGGATGAGCATCTTACCTGTGGACACATGGCGACCAGTGCCAAAAATCATGTAAAGAACAACTGGGAAGAATGAGGTGTAAAGCCCAAATATCGGGGCCACGGATGTGAGTAAAGCAAAGGCCATGCCTTAGAAAAAGAAAAAAAAAAGAAAAGGTTTATTGACAGCAAGGACAGACTTTTAAATGTAAAAGTAATCATTATTTCTAATGCTAAAACTGAGAAATATGTAATATTGGAGGCAGATTTCTGAAATAAACACATAACTTAACTGCTCCCAAATAAAAAAAATTTCATCTCTACATGTCTAAATGAAAGTAATAAGCAGGTAGATATTAAACTGATATTATTATCATCATTATTTGTTAGGGTTATGGCAGCTTTTACTTGTTTTTAAATTAGTTGTCAGTAATTGTGGCTCTTTCTGATTGTGTCTTTACTCACCTTGCGGGATGTGAAGAATACCAACAGTCAGCCCCGCCACAGTATCTCCTAAAATCCATTTCTTTAGTCTGTATCTCGGCAGCCAGCTGAAAATGGGCACTCTTTCCTTCAACAGGTGAAGGCAGGCTCGTTTGGAACACCTGACCTTCCCTGCCAGTTTTTCCCTGAGCCGCAGACTTCCAGTCGCGTCATCGTCGGAGCCGTACGCCTGCTTGAAGCGGTCCTCCGTGTAAATATTCCTGTAAACGGCCACAGACGCGCTCATGTTGTCCTCAGAGAGCCGGCCAGTGATGCGTTACCATGCAGGCGCGATGGTTGAGTGAGTCAAGGTGTTTTCAGTTGCAATTCATTTATAGCAGACTGTGCCCTGACCTCAGCACTCATTACTTTTTCCTGTCTGACTCTTCCTGGCCAATGACAAGCCTCATGGCTTAACTTTTCTTTTTTCTTTTTTTTTTTACAGTATTGAAAAACTCTTTATACATCTTTGTCCTGCCTCAAATAACATAAAGGTGTACTGGTTCTTTTTTTTTGCCAGAGGAGGAGTCTTCTGGGTCCTACTGCTAAAAGGATCCTTTTTTTTTTCTTTTTCTCATCAGAGAACAGTCTCACAATCTGGCTGTCTCTCACTTGCAGACCGTCATACTGAACACACACATCCACGCACACTCCTCCACACATTACTGATTAGAAGCTCAGAGCTGATACAATGTGTAGCACTGTGAAACGCCCAGAGAGATCAAAGTGGTATTGTTGATGGAGCTGAGGTGTAACCTCAAACCTTTTATTTTAGCAAAGGAGTTCATTTCCTAAAAGGATGGATGTCTGTAATGGGTGGGTATTTAAACCGTGTAGCCATAAGGAAAAAGAGTCAGCGAGGTGCCCGTGAGGCCTCTGTGAAACTCTATCGCACCAGGAAACCTGCTTCACGGATCAAACCACACCTAAACTCTGATCAGACATTGATGAGTGAGATCTTCTTTGTTAGACAGCAGTGAATACAAGCAAGCTTTGGATGAAGATGAGATTGTGAGGAAGGTTTCTTTTTTTTCTTTAAAAAAAAAAAGGTTAAACTGGATGTATGCCTGTGTGCATGTATGGGTATTATGATCATTTATGGATTACTAAAATTGACTCATTTCAGAAATGGATTATTCATTAGAGAATATATGGTCATCACTGGATCCCATGTCTTCTATGGCATGCTTTATTAAAGCTTTAGAGTGTCTTATATGATGACAAATTATTCTTAATGGGTCCTGATGGACCTTTACATTAATGTAATTCCGGTCAGATCGGCATCTGTATTTTGTATGCACAGCAGTATGCTGGTTGTGAGTAGATTTCTAAAGGATTCTGATCATGTCCCATTTTGTTTCATGACAATACCTGTGTGCCTGCTGGTATTTCTCTGTAAAAAAAAATCCAATGTGGCTAGGACTATGAATAATTACAAAAAATGTAGACATGTTATAGGTAATATAATTAATTGGATGACCATTTACACAAAGGTATCCATAAGCAAGTTTTAAATGTAGTAAATATTTTTGTCTGCAATGTTTTAGTAAAAAGAGCCAACAGTACTGTGTAGTATGTCTTTTTGTCAGTGAATCAAATCAGAGCAGTTAAATGCAAAGTTGCTTTTATTGAAAGTTGTCCATAATTCTCTCTTTTAAATTTGCGTTAAGATGAGTTTACAAGTGCAAACAACTCATTGTAACTGCTCCATCAATAATGCAACACATCACTTGCTGGCTGGATGCAACGGTTGACATGTGTGTGTGTTCTGGTGTCCACAAATAGCAGTTCCTCTGGTAATCACAGCACGCAGTCCTTCGTGGTAGGCCATTCCTTCTTTAATTCACAAAATATTGGATTAAACTGTTTGGTCTCCAGTGTAGCTTACTTGTCGTAGATAGTGAGCTCTTTTTATTTTGTTGATCCTGACAAAGGAGGTCCACTCTAACTAAACATCTTACAACGGAGCTGTGGAGTCGCATGATGCCGGAGGTCATCCTTCCAAGAGACTGATGATACTTTTTTTTTTACAATGTTTTCACTATAATTAAAAGAAAAAAATATTCCATGTTATGAGCAGCAAAGTTTTGAAATCTTTATGGACGTTATCACATCAGAGGAGAGGAGGGCACACTTAATGTTTGGTAATCCCACACACAGAGACGGTGCTGGAGACCAGTCTAATGATTTAACGCTGATTGAAATTTCTGTCTAATCTCTGCTCATTCTGAAATCTAAAAAAGAAAACATGAGCTAATTTTTCTCTAAATGTTCCAAGCGTGTTGTTGTTATTTCACAAAACTATAAGTGGAGTCATGCGGAGTGGAGGTGAAAGGTCCGGGAATATGCTGCTGATGCAAAGCCCTGCTCCGACTGAGGGTGATCTACCCCTGTCTTTTAAACTAAATGCAATAAACAGACGTTCACGTGGAGAGTTGTTTTTGTTCCTGAGTCATATTCCTAGAATTTCTTGGTCTCTGGTGGAGAGGACAGGCCATGATATAAGGGACTTCCTTTAAATGCCAGGAATGTGGGCCATTGTGTTGATTAGCTCCAGAGGATTTATAAACACACCAACAGAGTGATGTGTCTGCAGACTGTTTAAACAAGATATTAATCAGTGGTTAAAGGAACAATGCACTGAATGGAAAAGGATATGGAGTGTTAACCCCAGACTAGATTAAATCTTTCTGCTCTATCACAACAGACAGTTGGCCATATGGTCAAACTGCTAATGCAAATATCTGAGTGGCACACAAAGCTACAAATAGGCGCCTTTCACTTAATCCAAGGTTCAAGGTGTTGGCCTGGAAGCAACAACAAACAAGGTGCCAATGCTTTTCAGTTTCTGCTTTCTTTTTTCAGACGTGTATATGTCAAATTAAATGTCATGGAGGAATTATTTTTGTGTGAGTATGGGGGATGATTCAAATTTAAAGCGTGGTCATGTAAAATGATGACAAACATTTCCTTTCCTGTTTGTTTGAGAAGTTTCATCCATTATTAGAAAGGTTCTAAGTGGTGAGGAGCTTCAGGCTTGCAATAAGCAATCTTTCGGATTAGATGTGAAACGTCTTCCAAAGCCAGAAAGAAGCCCAGATAGATTCAACTCAGGAATTTAGGCTTCTAATGATCTGAATGGCTGATGTAAACATGCTATTGACATGCCACCATGCACCTTTAGAAGAACACCCCTGGAATGCAGTGTAAGAGGAGGTAAAGGAAGCTTATAGGAACCACCTTCCTTTTCAGTCTGTGATGTAGACAACACAGCGGTGGAAGTCACATCGAGGCAGTTCCTGAGGTTTGACAGGCAAGATGACTCTTTTATGTTGCAGGACCTGAGTAGCTTATAAGAGAACCATGTGAATGCTTCATTGTACCAGTGGGCAGAACGATGTCACAGTAAAATGGGACAATTGTAAGAACATCACCCACATCACTGTTTGTGAATTTTAAAGGGATATTCGTAAACCCTCTGGAAGCAGGTGAACTGCTGGTTTGCAGACAAAAACAAAACAAAAGTATGGTATGTCTCTATTATTTCGGTTACAGTAACATCCAAAAATTATTGCAAACACTGACTCTTGCTGACACAACTAATGCCATCTTACTCAACCGCTGAAGTTCTCCTTGTTTTCTTTCAATTTTCAGTGTTGTTGATGTTTCTGAAGTGCAGTTTTGTCCTAGAAGACCAAAAAATAGCAATCTCGTGTAAAAAATAACTTAGTAGTGTTGTAAGGCTTGTAACAACATGCACTTTAATAGAACTGTAGTTATCTTTGGCAGTGCATCTCATGATCCGACTTTCCTTGTCGCATTAGCATTAATCACATTATAAAAATACCTCCTCCACCCTGTCTCCTTCATGCTGAGTGTGTGTCCTGATCTTACAGGGTCTTTCAATTATTCTCTTCCAGGGAGAGTCTCCAGTTACTTTGTGGCCTATAGTTCCTGCTATTGTTCTTTATCTGCTTTATGGGATGCTTGTCCCGACCCCCCACAGAATGTTCCTTTGGAAGTGACCTTGTGTATGAGGCTGGCTGCTGGAAGCCAAACCTCTTCTTGTGTCTCCAAAGCTTTTCCGCTTGCTGCTCGTCTCCATCCATTTGTGTCCCTTTTTGTCCTGTCAAAGATTTGTCTCTCCGCAGCAACATTTTTCGTGGGGTTATAAATGTGTTTTTCCGGACACACACACACACAAACCTGGATTTTTTATAAATATTCTTTAATGTACATTTAAAAGTGAATATTTGAGGCACTCAATCCTTTGTGCAAACATGTCTGTTCTTAGCTTCAACTGCAATAAGCCTTGTCTTGATTTCCAGACTATCAAACTGAATACTTGTTGACAAATGTGTGTGCATTTCGTTAAGCTCTGCAGATTGTTTGATGTTCCTTTTTGATGCATTATCCTAAGTTTGCGTGTGGACAGTAGATTTTGTTGCTCTTTTCCTGTTCATTCTTGATGAACGTCTCCTGACCTCCACCCCACCTACATAAGCCATGTCCATTCATCAAGCATCTGGGTCATCCATCTCCTGGGCGTGTGAGGCAAGACCCGCATACACCCACCAGGTCCCAGAGGATCAGAGTGCACACTCGGGATGCATCCTCAACAATTAACTTTTATGCTCTCATTAAAGTAGCAGTCTGCATTTTAGATTGTGTTGAGCGCACAATCGTGCTGTAACTCGCCCCACTCGATTGAGCCACGATTAGATATACCAGAAAGGACAAAAATCGACAACTCACTGTAGCACAAAAGGTGAGACCTGGTTTCCTATCTGGCCCTTCTGTCTCTGCCACATTCCTATCCCATTGTGCCACAAAGAACAAAACGGAGCACTTACTTGTATTTACCAAAAGTTTGTTTAGAGCCTCAATGTCTGCTGTTTTTGCTTCCCTCTTTCATTTCTATGGCTTTGTGACATGCAATAACAGATGAGCCAAACTATGTTTACAAGCTGTTTTCAGCATGCTTGAGTTGACTGGAGAGTCTGGTTTTGGGATGTGTCACTTCCTCACCCATGCCAGAGCATTGTGCAGCTACACAGTACACAGTGGCGACACAGCCTTGAACCTCATTGTGAGAGTGGCCCGTGCATTGTCTGCCTCACCTCAACACTTCTGTCAGCACTAGATTCACTTTCAGCTGCAGGGCGCTCACAGCACTCCACACAACCAAGAAACAACAATATCCCTGCGTTATCATTTCTTTTGTGTGTTCACTAGAGAGCAATAATGACTCCCCTATGCAGGGCACAGAAATAGCTGGCTAGAGAACAGAGGAACAATCTTCCGAGGTTGATGAGTTGAGATATGTGTGTTTCCTGAAGAAATGCTCAGAGAATAAAATCTTGACTGTGAACTTAACCACAGCGATGGGCTATAAGGGAATGGTTTCGTGTTGATCCACTGTTAGGGCTTCAGTATTC